TGAGCATCGCTGAAGTGTGAAACAGAGCTAAAATTCCCCATAAAGTTTGCTGTCGACGAAATCAGCCTTCCTGGAGCCTCACTTATTGATTGGAGTGTGTGTGTGTAGTTGTGTCCTTCGTGACACTTGCGGTTGATACTGTGGGCTCATACAGTTGATATAGACCTCATGTTCAGTTGAGCACACACACATCCATGTGGCTCCAGGGCTCTGAGGGAGGTGACTGGGTGGCTGTCACAGATGTGCTAATGTGTGGCTGAGTGGATGCGTCCTGACTGCAGGCAGTCAGATGGAAATGTAGGTTATACTGGTCATTCATACTTAGTCCAAGAGAAAGAGAGTGAGATAGGCCTTTCTTTGTGGAAGGAGTTCTTGATGGAGGAAAAAAGACGGTGCCCTCTAAAAACAAAGGGAGTGATAAGATAAATGGAAGATTGTTATTATTATTATTACTAATACTCATTATTTTCAGTGTCATGAAGGCGTCAATAAAGATGAAGTGTTAATTTAACTGAGCTGAAACAACCCAATATTATGAGAAAATGTTTTGGTAATTTGAATATTATGGCAGTTCGTAACGGTTATACTTTTTTTTGGCAAATTTGTATAAGTTTGTATGAATTTGTTTAAAAGACATGTCTACCTCTAACCCCACACCTAAATAACCATTTGTAAGGTACAAATGTATGAAAAGAAACAATGGTACAAATTTGACACCAATTCGCCAACATGTAAAATAGTTGTCATTAGTGTTCCTCCAGTGACCAAAACTGCAATATATGAGTGAGTTATATTTTGTAATTAGTAATGTTATGAACGTTATTGGTCGGCGTTAGCCCACTGAAGAGCTAATTGGCCAATCACAGTCACTGCCTTCTCTCGTGTGGCTTTTAGCCTGTATTTTGTGTGGAAAACGTCCTTGTCCTACAGTATATACACACAAGCACATCCATCCATAAAGAAACAAGTTTTCAAATCACCTTTCTTACCTTACACAGTTATTCAGTTATGTAACCCTCTTAGAGTACGTCCCAGCTTAGCACACAAAGGTCTTTAAGTAAATGCGTGCATGGAATGGATAACCTTAATGGGACCTCTCTGAAATTAGTCAGTAATGGGATTTTGTAGGCAAATGTTGTTCTATAATGATCTCTAAACTTTATAAATCAATATTCGATAACAGTCACCATTAATCAAAGTACTTTACAAGACCAAGACACTATAGAAATGCATATTGGGGTCCTTACTTTTGTTTCATTTTTCATTCTCAAACACACTACACACACACTGGTGAGGTGCTTAGGAAGGAAAGGAATGCATGTTACCATGTTTGCACATAATCCTTCTTTGGCACTCAGTTTAATGGTCTAATGTGGACCCCTAGTGGCCAATCACAAAAAGAGAACAGCAGAGGATCTGATAAAGTGTGAAACATCATGACCAGTCATCATAGGTGAAGCGAATATCATTGGTGGTCTTATCCTAACATTGCTACATATTATGGTCTGGGTTGATTAGATTGGAAGTAAGTTTCTTGTAATCAATGTGTTGGATACAGGAGAAATGAGAAGGAATAAATATCTGAGTGACTTTGACTTTGAATACATTTTAGCGAGACTACTGGGTCGGAGTATCTCTAAAACGGCAAGACTTGTGGGTTACATAAGCATGATAAGAGTGTTTGGCACTTGGGATATCCAAGTATTTTATATTTATGCAAGTTAAGTAATGGGATAGCCATATTTTTGATGGACAGATCCATGAATGGATGACGATTAATCAAAAGTTGAAAGAATTTTTTTTTTTCTTCAAGAAAATGTAACAAAAGCTTGCAGAATTTAGATTACAGTGACTGGTGCCGTTGCATCTATTGTACCTTTGTGCTGTCTGAATGAGAAGGCGTATGTGGAGTAAAAGCCATCAGATTCCTGTGTGTGTGTGTGTGTGTGACTGGTAACTAAACACAAAGGACTTCATTAGCACCCATATCTGAAGATCTAATCTGAAACATCTCTGGAACATCAGACTTCTCATAACATGAAACCAATTGGCATTCATGTATGCTAGTACTTCAGTTTGAACTCCTAGACATGATTACAGAAACACTTCAGTACCTGACTGCATTTATTAAAAGAGTCCTTACTTAAATATCCCTTTGCCTAAAGGGGTTTTAATTCATATACACTCACAGCTGTTACCATATGTGTGTGCTGTGCATTTCGTTTTGGGTGTGCTCTACAGATTTCAATGTGGATGCATGGGGTTGAATATGAATTTGAAAACATTCATCTTTGATTCTGTTGCTAAGTAGGCTGGTCTATATTTGCAGGTACAGTGTACATGTGGTTGAGACCGAGAAAGAGACAGAGACAGATATGCAAACAAGGGTTGAGGAGGTTTTGAATGCAGATATTTAGGTGTCGAGTTTCAGTATCTCCATTAGAGTGAAGAGAAAAAGACCTGCAGCTCAAGAGACAAGCAGGAGTCAGAAGGTGACATTTACTAATGGTTTTTTTAACGTTTGAATTAATTTCAAGTGGTTATTATTTTATATTATTATTATACAGTTAAAATCATACTTTAAATGATAATTTATATAATGGTTCTCATCTACCCACCTACATAAAAGGAATCAGTATAGAGATGGTAGAGCAGTATAAATATTTGGGGATTGTGATAGATAGAAAACTTAAATTTGACATTAATACAGAGATGATCTGTAAAAAGGGACAACAAATATTGAACTTCTTAAGGAAGCTAAACTCTTTTAAAGTTGATAAGGTCATGCTGTCTTTATTTTATAAATGTTTTATTGAATCTGTTCTTACTTTTGCTTTTATTGCTTGGTATGGGGGCATCAGCTTAAGGGAGAAAAATAACCTCAGTAACATTGTGAAGGTGGCCGGTAAGTTAATTGGCTGCCCTCAGGTCTCTCTGACAAATATTTATGAGAGGCAGGTTTTGAGGAAAGCAAATACCATATTGGAATGTGTAGATACCTTACATTGCTTTTTTGAGGTTCTAACCTTAAGTCCAATAGGACTAAGAACTCTTTTATAGCATGTGCAATTCGTTTGCTAAACTTGCATAATTCTATGACGTAGAGGTGGAATAGTAAATAGTTTTTTGTCTGTGTTGTTTATGGGTATGTGTATGTGGGTTTTACCTGTTGTGTGACCTGTATGTTTACCTGGCTGCAAGATAAGTTTCCCTTAGGGGACAATAAACTGAAACTGAACTGAACTGAATTTATATAATGTAAAAATCTTAACTTATGTTAATTTAATATTGTAATGCAGTTTATTTATTTCTTCACCCTGCGTGTGTTTAAAAGTAGATTCAAATAATCTTGTTTAAAAATTGGCGAAGATTATTTTCTTTGCTTTTTTGTTGTTATTCCAACATTAAAAGTTTTAACTATTCTTTTTTTTATGTCAATTTTAATTAAAGAGTCATGCAAGTCAGCTGGTCACGAACACGAATAAACAACAGCCACTATCAAATAAATATATATATATATGCATATAAAATATCAATTTGAGTTGATATTATTTTTATTATGTGCGCTTGAAAGAGAGCTAGCACAGTGTGGTTTAGTGGCCATAATACAAATAAATGAATATTTGACTGCCAGTCAAAAAGCATTTAGATGAATGTAATGTTGGGATTGTCTTTTGTAATGTTTTGCCGAACGCCACGCAGTCACACAGGACACTGGAAAATGTTAGAGCAGCTTTGAGTCTATTATCACGATAAACCTTATTATTTCAGTATGACAGGAAGTCCCATATGTTTCCATGCATGGCAGGATGGATTAGCCAACAGGCTTCTTTCCCTCTCTTTCAAATTCCCTGACTATTTGAGGTATTTGCCAACTGGCCTTTCCATAAAAACAGGAATCGTGTCAGATTTTTTCAAAGGTTAGCAATCGGTCATTGCTTTGTTGGATTTGGTCTTCGGACATACGCCATGTTACCCAGTTGTAGAGAATGCATTCACAGATACAGTATGAGTATATACCCTCTAACTTGCCAACACTAGTTGCAGTATTACTGTAGGTTTTCAAGTCAAGTAGTCACTGGTGACTTTGTTGCTGTTCTGGGAACAGTAGTTTCTGTTACTCAGGTGAGCTGGCTTCTATTTCTGTTCTTCCTGTATATGTGAGTTTTCAGTTGCTCAATTTTCCTGTGGTTTGTATTGTGTGGTTATTATTATGATGAAGCTCACAGTGGGTTGCACCAAAATAACAGCGCCTTCAGCAGCGAGGAGTCCAAGACGTCGTCTCTTTTATAATAATAAGGAAGAGACACTTTCTAAAATAACTCTATCAAGCAATCGAAAGAGTGGCTGACTTCTTAATTGACTGACTTCTATACTTTTATGTGTACCAACCAAGCAGTCATTTCTACTGAACCATTGGTCTGTTTTACTTTCATTATTACAATTGATTCAATTCTGAAACTTTTTTTTACAAAGCAACTTGTTTATTATTTATTTATTTAACCAAATATATTAATTATGTGTTTGCCGGGGCTGATTGATAAATCTAAGTCATTTAAAAAATGAATTACAGATGATCATTCTGGGATCTTTTGAAACTGCTTTTAACTCTCTGTCTCTTTCTTGGTAAATCATATGCAAATATTTCCATGCTTGATTTTCAACTTCATTGAATTCTCCCCATGATTTATTTGCATTTAAAACAAGTTGTTTTAAATGAACAGTGTGGATATCCAGCCAGTTGTCACCCATGAAAGCTTCAATAAAATAATTGGCAGATGTTTCTCTGAGCCCTCTGTGAATCTTGGATCTCTCTCAGAATGTCTTCACTGGCTGGCAGAATCAATCACAGTTTTACTAGCTGCCATTTGAGACATTTGCATTCAAGCTGCTAAACATAATGTTGATGTTCATGCAGAACTGGAGAGACGTTTCTTTTGTCTTTTGAAAAAGGATAATTTTCCTCTAACTTGCTGCTCTTTCTCTGTTTTTGTCCGTAGGGTATATCTCCCATCGGACAGGGTCGTCCCGAATCCCCCGTGTACACAAATCTCCAGGAGTTGAAGATCTCTCAGTCATCTCTCCCACCTATTCCCGCTTCCTCCCCTCTGCACATCCTGGGCGACTGGGAAACGCACAAAGATTCGAGTGGAAGAAGCTTCTACTTCAACCGCACGACTCAAGAGAGGACCTGGAAACCACCCCGCTCACGAGACAACGGGGTCAGTCGCGGGGACACGTCCAACACTGGAGACATGGAGGTAACAAACAACTGGAAAAATGTACACTGAAAAATCCATAAATATGTTTTGATATCTTGGACGTCTCTCTGCTAATATGAGTGTGACTGTGAGCCCACATGCTTCTGCGTGTGAAAGTTTGAACTAGGCCAAAGTTGAAGTAGGTCTTCAGTCTATATTTAAGCCTTTGAAAAATGCTGTTCATATATTTAAGCTTCAACAGGCAGTTGACCTAGCTTCAGACAGAACAGAGTGGAGTATCTCATTCTCAGCTGATATTTCTATTACAATGGATTATTATTTAAAATGATCAAAAAGTAACGTTAGTTAAGTTGTTCTGGATACTGTAAGAGCTAACATGCATGTCTGTGTTTAGGAGAGTAAATAGTTTAACCCGTTTCCCGAGCTCATTTAGGACAACCTTGTTTAAGTTTCGATCTAAGTTTCACTCTTCTCATTGCCATCTAGTGGTGGAAACTTAAATTTGGCTGTAATAGTGGGGCATGGTATGTTTTGTTATCAGTTAAAATATTATAGGTTACAGACGTACTATATCGGTTTTTAAATTGTATTATTATTTTATAAATAAAAATAATTATAACTTATCATTATTATTGTGTTGTATAATAGTAAAATAGTAAAACATTATTTTTCAATATTAATAATGTATTTTTACTGTTAATAATAATGCTATTTATTACTATTCAAACATTATACTCTTTTTATTCAAAGTGACTTACGTTGCTTTTAAAGAATACATTTTTATTCATTTTTTTTCATGCAAATAAAAAGTGTTGTTAGCACCATGCTATGGGGTCGGAGGTATTTAAATGAATGCTTTTATCTTTTTTTATGATTCATTTTGTCTTTTTGCCATTTTTGATTTCTCATTCTCTCATTCTGTCCCACTTGTCTCTAGCATTTGTCCTCTGAGGAGAACTGTCCCAGTACACACTCCAGTCAGTCAGACAGTCAGTACGGGTCACCCCCTAGAGGCTGGTCTGAGGAACTGGATGAACATGGCCACACACTCTATGTGTCTGAATACAACAATGAAAAGGTGCTGGAAAGAGCTACTTACACACCAAAATCTCACATCAATTAACACTTTTTTTGTTATAAATGATTCATAGTGTAACAGATAATTTTCTTCGTTTGGTAGTGGATTAAGCACGTGGATGAACAAGGACGGCCATATTACTACAGTGCCGATGGATCCCGTTCAGAATGGGAGTTACCAAAAGTAAGTTCTACTTTTTCACAGGTACACCCAAACAGTCTTTCTCCTGTCTTTAAATAATGTGGTGTTCATTGCCTGCTTTAGCTCTAGGAAAGTTGAAGGGTTTACCTGGAAAATCTAAAAGTAACCCTGATTCCCTAATCGAGTTAGTCGAGATCAGTGTCTCTATCGCCTCGGAGGCACTGTTTATCGGAGCACACTTTCTTCTTTCATTACACATACTCTTACAGTCATTCCATACACACATGCTGTGCTCTGGGGGGCTTTGCGTGTTGGTTGGGCTTATTTTCGGAGGAGGGGATCTGAGCGCACATGGTACTGTGGACTGTGAGGGGAGAGGTACGACAGCGGCTGTTCTCTATTCTTTTCTGTGTTTTTTTATCACTGTCTAGACTTATTTCATAAATTAACCAACCTTTTTTATTAGTTTCTGCAATAGATGCAGAAAATCCTACTATATTTATGAAATTTGCATAGTGGAATTGCATAAGAAATTCACTTCCTGTACTCAGTCTTTCCTCCTCCCCCCATTTCCAGTCATCTCTGGCTTTAATCTATGGTTTTAACACTTTTTATCTCTCTTTTCCTTCCTGTCTGTTCCCAGTATAATCTCTCTCCCCCAATCTCTGAAGAAGCTCCTAAGAGTCACAGTTTGGAAAGGAAGCAGCAGGAGCCCATTGTGCTGACCAAGTGGAGACATAGCACATATGTTCTGGACGTCACTGATAAGGTACACGTCTATGTTGTTGGACACAAACAATTATACTTGTCTTCACAATACAATTCTCTCTTGTGTAATACGTATATGCATAAATGCATACACTCTCACTCAAAAGTTTGGCGTTCTTTAGATTATTACTCTAGTCTGCATTTATTTGCTCAAAAATACATTAAAACATTGTTAAATATGATTTAAATGTAAAATAACTGTTTTTTGTTTGAAAATATTTTAAAACGTAATTTATTCCTGTTATGGCATGATCATGCAGAAATCATTGTAATACTGATTTAGTGCTTAAGAAACATTTCTTATTACGATCACAGCTGAAAATGGTTGTGCTTCATAATATTGATAGCTGTTCTTAGTATTTATTTAATATTACTCAATAAAACGGTTGAGTGTGTGTATATAATGAAAGAAACATAACTGCTTTGATGTCCATTGCCCTGGGTTATGACTTTTTGGGTGTATATTGTTATTATTGACTCCTAATGTTTCTCATACATTGATTTATCTGTGGCGGCCCACCACAATATCAACAATGACCGCCACAAATAGATGTCGGTGCTTCTGCTTCCCATTCATTAAGAAGACCGATGTCCACGCACCACAGTTTCCCAAAATCCTGTGGGAAACACTGACTCTGTTTATGTAACTCTCAGGACCTCTTTTACTATGAAAACCAGCATGTAGCCCAAAAGCCAATTAGGAGTCATTTTTTCCCTCACACAGATGCCAGTGAAGATTAACACATACCAAATATATTTCCTAAAGGAGAGCGCGAGTTCTTAACCTCATTGCACGTGTTTTGTATTTTATTTTGTCACTCAATCATGTCGGTTCTATAAAGATGCTAAATGAAACAAGCCTGACGTTATGTTGCTCTTGTGTCACACAATGGTTTTCATTCCAGCTGCCATTCAAAAACAGATGGTTCAGTGTGAACCGCCTCACCAGGGGCTTCGGTCTGTCACTGTACAGAGAAGTTAGTCACTTCATTATGCTGTAACCAATCAGATGTGATTACAGACTTCTTGATTTCTTCACTTCCCAAATTGAAGTGCTTTCATGCAAATCAAGGAAATCAATCAGTTGGGTTAATCAAAACCCGCTCACAATGTGCTCTTTATGATTTTTACATGATTTATCTGGGTGTGATTGTTTCGTGAATGCTTGCGTCTGCTGCCTTTATGCTAACTTCTTTTATTACTAACATGTCAACAACATCTTGTCCAGGTTCTTACAAAATAATTTGAGATTACTGTGATTCTTACCATTATCTGTCATGTAAACACCAGCCCTTTTCTCAGAATGGATCTAACCTCTTTTTACATTAATCTGCTAACCCTGTTTAACACTGCACGTTTTCTGCTTTGACTTACAGGAGTCTGTAAATGCCAAACACAACTCTCCTGAATCAGACTCCTGCCCCACTTCACCAAAACACCCCTCTACTGTTAGTATAACCCATAACCTGTGATTTTTCACTTGTTACATTCAGATCTCTTTTAAATGCATGTTGTCATCAGAATTAACAATGCAATTTAAATTGCTTAATTTAAATACCACTGCTAATAATAATAATTTATACTATATATATAAATGTTCTAATCAATATAATAATACAGTACTCTTATTTTATGTATTTATTTAGTTTTTGTTTAATCGGTTTCCCTTTGATTTGTTTCTTTTCTTTACATTTTTATTAATTTTTCTCCTCTCTGTAGCCCTCAGAAAAGTGTGGTGTTCTCAATGTCACCAAGATCACTGAACATGGCAAGAAAGTCAGGTAATTTATCTTTTATAAGTATGGGGAAATAAATATACTAAAAAAGTTATATTTATGCATTATGCCGTATTTAATTTTTTTTTCTTGGTTATTTCTTGGCCAAATATTGGTTGATGCTATAAATAATGAATTGTGCTAAATTGAAAAATGGTCATTCAAGTGGTTAATTGTTTTTTTTTCTTCAAATATTACCTGTAATGCAGTATGTACTGTAATACAGCTGTTTTTGAATATAAAATGTCTGCAAAGATCACAGTAAACGACAAATAAAGTTATTGTCTCCTAAAAGATTCAATTCTAAACTGCCGAAACGAGTTTTAAATTCGCCCTCAAACACTATAGCTGTAGCTGAAACTGGACAAGTTTATTTCGTGTTGTCAACATGTCAAGAAGGCAAATCCACTTTACTTTTTTTTTTCTAAGAATGAGGCCATGATACTGTAAAGCCGACGCCATTATTACTGTTCTTATCACTTTGTATGTGTTCAAGTGCCGATGAAGCTTTCAGAGCTGAAATTCAAATATGGACGTTTTGTTTCCGACGTGCTCTGTTTTCTGAACAGTCTGACCAATCAGAGTAGAGTAAAAGAAGGGAGTTGATGCTTGATCAAACTGTCTCAGACACTGTGAGAAAAGAGGTGATACTGCGATATATATATATATTATGAGAATTTATTTATTTTTTTGACCTTGGATGCATGTAAACCTATTGTTGGAGACCATAAACCCTCAAAACAAAATTAAGAGCCTTTAAAATAGCATAATATTAGCACTTAGAAAACATATTATTCCCTTTTCTAGTTTCTCATTTGATCTTTAGAATAGTAATACATATGCTTTATTGTTTTATTGTTCTGCAGGAAGAATTGGGCCTCCACCTGGACTGTCCTGCAGGGATCCTCTTTACTCTTTGCAAAGGGTCAGGGCAGCGCCACCAGCTGGGTATGCATTCATACCAGGTTTCAATGGCCCATTGCTCTGGGGCAAATGTGCAATTTTCCTCTTAAATAGATTGATAGATCAGTGTATTTGACCTGGGTAGTCTTTAATAACAGTTGACAGCGTAATTTCAGTCGACATGCTTTGAATACTGGCAGGCTCCTCTATAGTCTGCCGCGAATTTGCCTGAATTTATGCAGGGTGCATTCAGCACTCAACGCCTGGATGCTTTTACGTAATAAAGTAGTATTCAGATTTACTATAAATATTAGATCACTTTGCAATTTGTACCTCTCTCCTTGGTTTATATCTCCCATGTGTGTTGTGAGTATGTTTTCATGCATCATCACTCTCTTTATGTTCTTATCCTTTGTTTCATCTCTTCTCTGTCTCTTCAAAGTCGTACTGCCGCAATGGTTCCTTTCCTGAACTCCTCCTTTCATTGCTAAGTAACTGGAAGCGTTCGATTAAGCCCCGGCCCGCAGTGTCCTATACGCACTGTAGACGCGGCCGGGCTCCTCCTGTATGTGTCAGCCTCTCTGAACTGAATTAATGTGCCCTCTATGTTGGTCTAGGAACAGTTTTGCTCAGATTAAAGTTGACTGCAATTTGTATTGGTTTCAAATAAGATAGAAATGTATGGTATTTGATATAATTTAATTTCAGTATATAATTATAATTTAATTTAAGGTATGTGATGCAGAGCTGTTCTGAGATCAGCTGAGCAGGGCAGCTCGTCTCCCATTTTATTTGTGCACGTTCTACTTTCTGCCTGTGTGCCTCACTTATCGCTCCCCGCTTTGTGCTTGAACTTCTTGAAGTCGGTTCCTCCTGCAAGAGAGGCTGAATTTAAAACTGATTTGAGTTATTAAATGAAAATTTGGATGCACTATGGAACCTTATGTTTGCTGGCATGCATTTCTGCATAATCAGACCCATTTATTTTATGCTATTTGAATGTATTATCACAACATACAAAGTGGAGCTTAGCATTGCGTAAAGCAAAATATGAGAATTCTTCTGTCATGAATTATAAAACAGTGAAGTGTGTGCATTGTGAATTTAATATTCAAGTCTAACCTATTAGTGGAGATTCCCTGGCACCCATAACTAATTGACACTTAAAATGTAGCGTGCTCCGTAACTCGCTTTTCAACAGGAACTACAATATAGCTCACGTTTAACAGCACTGGACTAAAGACGATCCTAAATAACTCTCAGATGATGATTAATTAATGAAGAGTGCCCTGGATTTAAAATGAGCTGTTGAATTTACCTTTGTTATTACAGTTTGGAGGCAACCAGTCCAAACCCGAATTCACCGTGGACCTCCGAGGAGGTTCGGTCGAGTGGGCATCCAAAGAAAAGTCCAGCAAGAAACATGTAATTGAGGTGAGAGTCAGCTGATTTTTACCCTCAATTTACTGATGAATTACTGTAGTAGAAGATAAAGCAATACGTCATGAGATACTGTTGGTTACAGTGATTTTATCACTTGTTCAGGTTGTTTTTACATTGCCTAGAACTCTTAACCCTGGTCAAATAACTGTATTATTAACCATTACTGGCTTAATACTTTATTAATACATTTATTATTACAGCAATACAATAAGACTACAGTGGTAAACAAATAGCTTATTTATTTCTTATTTTATTAGTTAGTATTTCTTAGATCTTATGTGAGTTATTAGTAATGAAAATCCAAATACATTACATCAGGTAGCCTACTGTAATACAGTTGCATTAGAATAATTGGAGCATGTTTATGATTGCCAAGCAACATAGCAACTATACATTTGTAATATTAGTTTTCCTAGATTAACTGTAATATTTCAGTAACACTTTGGTGTAGGGTGCAATTCTAATTGCTTATTATTAGTATGCATATGTGGATATTGGGTGTTTATTAGTACTTATAAAGCACATATCAATGCCTTATTCTTCGAGTATATCTCTTAATCCGACCCAATATCTAAACTTAACAAATACCTTACTAACTATTAATAAGCAGTAATTAGGAGTTTATTAAAGCATAAGTCATAGTTAAAGGAGTAGTTCACTTATAAAAAAACTTTTGCTGATAATTTATTCACCCCCATGTCATCCAAGATGTCCATGTCTTTCTTTCTTCAGTCGAAAAGAAATTAAGGTTTTTGATGAAAACATTCCAGGATTTTTCTCCATATAATGCACTTTACTGGTAACCAAATGGTTCAAGGTCCAAAAGACAGTTTCTTTGCAAACTGCAAACTGTTCAAAGGGCTTTAAATAATTTTAAAAATATAATAATAACAAAGTTTAAGTTTTATAAGCACAAATGCTCGCCTTGCTCTGTTCTGTGACGCACATTTGTGACGCACATTCATCAAATGATGTTCGAACTCGTTCATCAAAGTGAACAAATCTTTTTTTGAGTCAATTCGTTAATTTCGTTCGTTGAATGAACCAAATTGACTCGAAAAATGATTCGTTCATTTTGATGAACAAGTTCGAACAGGAGAGTTATGAACACGCATCACAGAACAGAGCAAGACGAGCATTTGTGCTTAAACTTAAAGTTTTGTGCTTTAACTTTGTTATTTATTTATTTTATTTTTTTAAATGAGTGATCGTTTCGCTTCATTAGACCCTTATTCATCATCTGGAATCATTTAAAGCCCTTTGAACAGCATTGAAACTGTCTTTTGGACCTTGAACCATTTGGTTACCAGTAAAGTGCATTATATGGAGAAAAATCTTGGAGTGTTTTCATCAAAAATCTTAATTATTTTCGAATGAAGAAAGAAAGACATGGACATCTTGAATGACATGGGGGTGAGTAAATCATCAGCAAAAGTTTTTTTTTAAAAGTGAACTACTCCTTTAATAGTGAGAATTGGAACCTAATCTAAAGTGTGACCATGACCAATATTTCTTACTGTAACTGAATCTGTCCTGACACATGCCTTTCCCTAATATGATCCCACTGACCTGATATGAACTGTGACCCCCGCAGCTGAAGACACGAGTGGGCACAGAGCTGCTGATTCAGTCTGAGATTGACAGTGTTATTAATGACTGGTTCAGAGCGCTTTCTGAAACCATCAACACACATGTGAGTGAAATACCCACACAACACAGTGCAAAAATAGGAAATAAACTATTCAAAGTCACATTTTAACAATGATGCCTGTGTTGTAGGCGTGGGAGTCTGATGAAGCCATTGAAGAGGACATGCCTGAGTCTCCTGGAACTGAGAAACACGACAAAGAGAAAGACCCCAGAGACTCAAAGAAAAACAGAGGTACAGAGGACATACATTTGTCAAATAAATCATAATAGGGTTTGTGTTGAGTCCTGTGTGTTTTTGTCCAGTAGTAAAGAACCCCAGCACGGAGTCGTCTGAACAGAAGAAGACCAGAGTGAAGCTGAAGAAGTTTCTCACACGGAGACCAACCTTACAGGCTGTCAGAGACAAGGGCTACATAAAAGGTAACATACCCTGATTTAAAGCAGCTAACACGACTTTTTTAGCATTTGTGAATGAATACATAAAGAGGAAGTGGTTCTGTTAGAAGACACCTCTGGTAACCCTCCTGTCTGTTCTCAGATCAAGTGTTTGGCTGCAGTTTGACTGCCTTGTGTCAGAGAGAAGGCACTTCTGTGCCTAATTTTGTCAAGATGTGCATTGAGCATGTGGAGAGTACAGGTACTTATTTGTGTGTTTCATTGATAATAAAACACTCTTTGAGTTGTCATTCTCAGACAACATCCACTTCCTGTCTCATTTCTTTGTATGTCTTTCTCAGGCTTAAATGTTGATGGCTTGTACAGAGTCAGTGGGAATCTGGCCGTCATACAGAAATTGCGCTTTGCTGTCAATCATGGTAGGGAATTGTTTTTTTTCTTTGTCAAATGATACAATCTTGCTGACAGTTCTCACAAATCATTGTTATTGTTAGCTAAAACTAAAATAAAATGTATTTTAAGAATAATTTCCAGTCATTTGAAATGAAGCTGAAATGAAATATAAATATTAGATCATTTGAAATATTGCCTTAGCGTCTAACTAAAATAAAACAAGTACTAAAATGACTAAACTGAAATAAAAAAATAAATGTAAAAGGACAGAAATAATAATAATAAAAAATGGCAAAAACTATATTATTAAAATTAAAATGAAGACTCAAAATAACTAAATTAAAGCTAATTTAAAATAATCAATTCTGATAGCATATAAATACTAAAACAAATGGTTCCTACACTGAAAGCTAACAACCAACATTCAGTTTCTATTTGTCATAAAGAGTGTGTTTATGTGTCTGCAGATGAAAAGGTGAATCTGGAAGACAGTAAATGGGAGGATATCCACGTGACTACAGGTGCTCTGAAGATGTTTTTCCGGGAGCTTCCAGAGCCTCTGTTCACCTACACATCCTTTAATGACTTTGTCGAAGCCATCAGTGAGTTCTTTCATTTCTCTGTTCCGTATAAAAATTTTTATTTAAGACAAGTACTTGTTTTATTGATTTCACAAACTGCTGTATTTAGGTTTCATATGAGCTGGAAAAGTTTGAGAAGCTCAGAAATTCTTAATTTTGTTTTTGTCTTTGTCTTGGTTTTCCTTGAACTTTTATAACTTTACAAGAGATCTGAAATCCTGGGATTAAACTCAAATTTTTAACCTAAATAGAATGAAGATGAAATATTTTTGCTTCTATTCAAGTACAATACTGTTCTAAAGTTTGGGGTTGGGAAGTGTTTTATATTCACCGACGCTGCATTGATCACAAATACAGTGAAAAATTGTAATAAATATTACACTTTGCGTTGTGAAAGATTCTAGTTTAAAATCACTTTTTTAAATATATTTAAAAATGTAATTTTTTCCTTTTGATGGCAAAGCTGAATTGTCAGCATCATTACTCTAGTCTTCAGTGTCACATGATCATTCAGAAATCATTCTAATATACTAAATTGCTGCTCAAGAAACATTTCAATATCAAAGTTGAAAACAGTTGCTGCGTAATATTTTTGTGGAAACCCTTATACTTTTGTCCAATTTAATTCATCGTTGCTGAACAAAGGTATAATTTTCTTTATATATATATATATATATACATATACTATGGAAGTATATCTTACTGATCCCAAACCTTTGAACATTAGTGTAAAAATGGTTCTTTAGATGCTCTTATTAATAAGGGAACTGCATTTATTATTATACACTCAGAAGACTAATAAATCATCAACCACAAGAGGGAGCAATTTGACTTGGGAAATAGTTTTCCCAGTTCCCAGATCATCTGATTCTCAACAGTATCCTAATCCTGTTTTCTTTTTCTTTCTTTTTTTCATGTTGCTTGTTTTCCAGAAAACTCAGATTACAAGCAGCGAGTCCAATCCATAAAAGACTTGATCAAACAGTTGCCAAAACCCAATCAGGAAACAATGAAAGTGTTATTTGAACACCTAAAAAGGTAAGGAGCTGCTCCTGACATTGTTTTTACTGGAACTTTTGTGTATTATACACTGGGCCATTTACTGCAAGGATTGATTTGTCATTTTGAGTTAATAAGCCTTCCTTTCCAAGCAAGCCATCATCATTCATTATTGATTTGGGGCAATGCTGGTGTGTGTGATTGTTGGAGGTGAGGAGGGTGTGGTCCGTGCTCTGCACAGCAGGCCTATATCGAGTTATCTCACTGTATCCATTACTGGGACAGACCTGGAGACTAGCCAGCTACATCATTATGAGAGAGAGAGAGAGAGAGAGACATGTGGAGCAGGAGAGTGGGACAGGAAGAGACTGGAGGGAGGGTCTACACCACATCCTAGTACTGATGCATGGCCATTGGCAGTGGTGTGTGTGTGTGTGTGATGCACGAGCCACAGAGAGAGCAGAAGACAATGACAGAGAGAGAACATGAAGGCTGTATGGAGGAAAGCGTGAGGTGCTGTGGTTAATCCAGGTCTGCGATTGTGATGCAGCAGGAATGTAATTCAATTAGTTAACAGCCTGTGTAAACAGCTCTTGACTGTGACATCAACCTTGGGAGCTTCACAGGAAACGGCAGATGTGGAGAACGCAACTGTTATGTTGCTGATGCTCTTTTAGTATCCGTCATCTAGTGTCGAGTATTAGCACGAAGTGATGTCCTCTTTCTTGCATACATAGATCTACCCATGTAGATAGGAACAGACTGATTGATATTTAAAAATGTTTTCTTACTTTGTTTACTAGGAATGCACTGATATTACATTTGCTGATATGGCAGCGATAATGGATATACAATAATGCAGCAATAATGACTGATAATAAATTGATATATTATTTTGCTTAATTAAATAAAATGCTAAATACTAAAATCAACCGTTTTAAAGTGAATTTAGGATGAAAAATGGTTTATTTTGAGATTTGATAAAGATGACATTTAACGGTTTTATGAAATTATTATGTTTTTAAAGATTCAGTTTTAGATATTGGCAAATATAACCTAAATGTAAAAATAGAGGATATGTGCAGTTACAAGTAAATATCCAATATTGATTGATAAATTAAAAAATTAAAAAATCAATAACAACTGCCTGAATATCTGATCAATTCATTATTTATGTCTGCAATAAATTACTGAAAAAATACCTGAGTACATAAATTAATTACCATTCAAAAGTTGGTACAATATGTTGTTGTAGAGACACTAAGGCTGTATTTATTTTATCAAAAATAAAGTAAAAAAAAAAACAGTGTTGTAAAATAGCCTTACAAAATATCTGTTTTCTGATTAAAATATATATATATATATATATATATTGTTATTTATTCCTGTAATAGCAAATTTTCAGTGTCACATGATCTCATCTCATGTACTTTTTCTCTGTATTTTTTCAGAATACTTTAATGAATACAGCGTCTTCTATAGAAATAAACACTTTTGTAACATGCTAAATGTCTTTACTGTCACTTTTGATCAATTTGATGCATCTTTGCTGAATAAAAGTATTCATTTATTCCCTTCAAAAAAAAAAAAAAAATTTGACCAGTAGTGTACTTGTCTTTTTAGGCATCATGTCTGTGCTTCAGGAGGCAATCCAGTCTTTAATCCATTACTAAAACTGCTCTTTTATCTTTCTTGTCGATTTAGATTCATCAAAGCACTTTTTATAACCATAAATTGTTAACTCCACCTCTGTTATCACATCCATTTCAAACCTTAAAATAACCATGAGCTATAAAGCTGCTTCCTCAGTGGCAGGTGAGAGTCACATAAATCTTTAATCACTCTGGGCTTTCTTTGGGGAGTTGTCTCGTTTGGTCTAGTGAGGTCAGTTCTTTTCTACTGTATATTTCAAGTTTCAACTTTAATTTTACTCTTAGCTTTGTAAAGGAGAGCAAAGTGTCCCTCGCTCCCTCTATATTTCCATAATCTCTTGTAAATCTAAAATAGCAACACTATATTTAGACGTGTCTTATGTGAAAGTGATAGTTCACCCCCAAATGAAAGTTGTGTTTAAATTTCTTCCAAACCTGTATGAGTTTCTTTCTTCTGGTAAACAAAAAAGAAGATATTTTGAAGAATGTCGTTATTCAGACAGTTAATGGCAGCCAGTGACTTCCATAGTAGGAACAAAAATACTATGGAAGTCAATGTCACCTGTCTGGGTGCTTACATTTTTTAAAGTATCTTCTTTTGTGTTCAACAGAGGAAAATTTCATATTTTAGTGAACTATCCCTTTAAGGCAAATTCAGAAGATGTTTTTTGTTGGGAGTTGGGACATCACCTTCACACCTTTAGTATACTTACTTCAGGCTTCTTTAAATCAACTCAAAGTTAAAATAAAGTGGAAAATAAACAAAGAAAACTCCATTTTCTCTGTACATATAGAGTGAATCATTTTCCCCATGTTGTTGTATGATGTGCCTTACTGTGTAATTCTGAATGTAATTTGAGACCGGCGGTGAGTCTCAATCGTAATTGCTATATCAAACACGCACAATGACATTTGCCTTTGCTCCATTTGCATTTAAATGGCTCTCAGTCTACTGTAATTCAAAATGGAGGACGGAGGCATAGTGCTCCAGAAAAAAATACGGTCTGACATTTTGCTGTTGCAGGGAAAAGGCATTTGTATTTATGTAATTTAAGCACAATACCCAAACATTTTTTTAGAGTGAAATCGATGGCAAAACAAAAATGCATTTACCTGCTACAAATTCACCTTTCATGACAAATAGAAGCTCTTTAGTGGCAAAAAATGAAGCTTTTCTGTTGACGAGTGTTACAATTTGAAGGAAAGCAAGGGAAGACTCTCAGACTCTCTCTGTGTTTTTCAGAGTGATAGATCACGGCGAGGTGAACAGGATGACGACCCAGAGCGTGGCGATCGTGTTCGGCCCAACCCTGCTGAGGCCGGAGATTGAGACGGGCAATATGGCGGTTCATATGGTCTATCAAAACCAGATTGTAGAACTTATCCTTCTGGAGTATGAGAATATTTTTGGGAGGTAGAACATCTCTAAGTGACACCACCTGAGAATCAATCCAGAGAACACAATGCCAGAAGTTTAACATCTCATATCCATCGCACAAACACCCACCACTGCTGTGGACCAAGCCTAAAAGTGTATATAAACAAACATGAGTGGATTTACTGTGACTTATGACTGGATATAAGCAAAGAAAATGAATACAGGAAGGTTATTTATGCACTTAATGTTTGTTTTTTTATTTTGAGGATATACAAAAAATTCTCATTTTTGCATTTGGATCGTCATTCCTTGGCTTAGAATAAGCTGGATGAACTTTTTTGAATGGACAATTATGGATGGTCATGGATGGTTTCCTTTATGCACTCTTTTTTTTTTTTGTGAGGGGAGGGAAATCTGAATATTTTCCAAAGTTGGAAACTGGAATGGACTTCATATTATTCAGTATTGACGACTAGAATGAAAATTGACTAAGCAGACACTTTCAAGTCTCACCAGATTGAGTTTTTTTTTTTTTTTTTTTTTGCTGTGAAATGTTTAAAAGTAAAAACGGATTTGGGGGGTTCATTCATTGAGACGCGTGTCGGACTTGTATCTGGGCTATCTTTGACTCAGAGTTTTTGTTTTCTTCATTTTTTTCCTGTGGAATAAGCTGAAAGTGCACTGTATTAGGAGACAGTATTATTTGACAATGACTACTGACCGAGGTCGATGGTTAAAAGTGGACAATGATTAATAATCAGTATTAGGGCAGGAATCCTGTTTGAAATGAGAAAGGCTCTGAGAAAAATCTTTTTTTCGCTGAGTGTTTTCTCCATATCCACCCATGTTTGCCCTCCATCTGCACTTGCCTAAAGTTTACCGGAAAGGCCGTGTGCCTCTTGCTTCATGGACGTCACGCTACTGGATAACAGACATGCTCATCACACTTGTGTCTTTTGTGTTATCCAACAGAGAAACTCCTTTTTAATTCGATGGCCCTCCCTTTAATGAAATATCAGGACTTTCACATGCTTGAGGTCAAACCTGTGTTGTTTCCTTGGAATAGATGGACTGTGTTGTGCCGAATTGTGTAACAGTATGCTGGAGAAACAGGTTGTTTTCCAGATGTGAACCTGATATATGTTGTGTAGTTCAAAAGCAAGACCTCTCAAAAACAGTCAGAGAGCTCGTCTCTCTCGGGCTTACTGGAAAAAGAAAGGTGAGATGCTTATATCGGCGTTTAGGCCTTACACGGTTTCAAATCAATAGCGAAAAATATTCATCTCCGGTTTCCTGCTCTGCCCCTGGATGGAAAGCTGCTTGATAACAAATTGACAGGATGGTACTGGAAATAGTACTGCAGTTAGTGTTAACTGAAGGTACGCATGGCAAACGCCGCCTTTGTCTTGTTTTTAACCAAATTCAGAAAGTATATGTACATACTACTTCAACAAGAACTTGAACCCTGTTGTACAAACAAAGAAAAATACCAATAATAGTTTAAGTGTAATGGCTTGAAGTTGTGTGTCAATAACAAGTGAAAAGATCTAATATTGTTGATGTATGGAAAAAAGAAATGAGTGATGGGTAGGGCGAGGGAGGGGTGATGTCATCACGCGTTGTGAACTGCACATTTTGAATGTAATTTTCAGACTAACTGCTATTTCTGAAATTTATGTCTAATCCTAATTAAAAAGACAAAAACTCATGGATGATATTAAAGTGATAATGCCTGAGTTATTATTCTAGTGTTTATTTTCATTGTTCACGTGTCATTTATCTCGACATTGCAGAAACTGATGATATGAAATGACGCAGGGAACTATCAACCATTTTCATTCATTTTAATACAGAGATTTAGAATACAAAAATAAATCCTATTTGAGAGCTTTTCTGTGCTTTTAAAACCTTTCTTCAAACAAATTACGCCAGTGTTTTTCTGAAGCTACTGATTTAAATCACACTTTAGCAAAATAATCTTATTAAAGCTTAAATTTAATGTTTAGTTAAGTTACTCTGCAAAAAAAATGTTATTTCAACTTAACAGCACAAAGTATTTGTGCTGCTTTCAAATTTAAAGTTTAGACAACATGAAATGTGAAATTGTACTAAATGACAACTTGGATTTTTGAGTTGATTACACTTAAACTTTAAGGCAGAACAAAAACTTTAAATTAATACCATTTTTTACAGTGTAGCAATATATAACTCACTTTGTTTTTCTAGACAGGACCACCTTTAATTATTGAAAAAGTGGCATGGAAAATGACAGAATCGAGACTGGGTGGTGATCAAATCAAACACCTGCTAAAAACCATGAGCTATGCGATTTGAAAAGAGCAAGACTTTCCAAATGAGAAAACAATTAGCTCATATCCATAATTCATAGCTCTGACCACACTCTGCTGCAGCCAGGGCCCTAGAGGTGTCTGAATTGCACACCATATGCTGCTGCGTGTCTGTGGGGCAGAGGTGCCAGGAAAACCCCTGGTCTTGTGTGTCCGTGGAGGCCAAAGTGTGGTGAGGAAATATGAGAAAGCCATTATGACCCATAAAACATTCATGACTTTAACTCTTCTTTTTTCCCCCCCCTCTACATGTCTATCATTTTCTATGTTGCCGAATCTTGCCATCTGATCAAAATGAATGACAGACTCTGACCAAGAATATGTTTGTGTTCCTATAGCATGACTGAAGACTTTCATAAACGATAATCGAGTCTTCTCTGAATTCGCTTCTACTGGGATTCATTTTCATATCTTTGTTTTGGAGCCCCAACTAAGCTGAGTAATTGTGTTCATTAAAACTTCATGCATTTGCTGCTTTGTGCAACTGCTCTGATAAGGAATAAAAATTCGCTGTTATTAAAGCCGGCTGAATGAGCCTATCGGATCAAGAAAAAAGCCACATTTTCTAAAATCCAATCACATCTTTGACAGCAACACAACTTGTATGGGGAGGGCAGATGAAAACATTTTATTTGACATGGTAACTACTATTATAGGGCCATATATGAATGTAAAATCTATTTGTAGGCTGTAAATCTTTATGCATGCAGCCTGAATGACATTTATAGGAATGTCCTAGTAGCTGATAAGCATCTGTCTGCGGTGTAACTTTAAAGCATTAAATGTAGTAGAATGTGGTATTGTTCAAGATGTCTCTTGTGCGAAATTGACCATTAATTCAATTTTTCAAGATACAGTATAACCCATGCAGAATACTGAACAAACATGATGCTGCAATCCATTTCCTCTCCTTAATTGTCTTTTATAAGGCAATTGTGTGAATATTGGTGGTACATTCATCTAAAGTTGTGCTTATTCCTCACTTAAGACACTCCTGAGGCTATTGTGCTTAAATGCTCCATTTAGCAAGTCTTTCCAAATACCATCTCAAGTATCCTTAAGAAAACACAAATGCACACGGACATTGGCTAAAGTAATCATAGCAGTACTTCAAATGGTATCTGCCCATGCTTTGGTATTAATGAAGTTCGCATGGTTGGACTTGATGGTTTTGCATTGGGAAATTCAATGCATTTTAAATAGACGCCTGCTTGTGGGATTTACATAAGGTAATTGCACAAAGCCAGAACTACTACGCCTGTGATAGAGCCATTCCCATTCCCACTCCATGTGCACTAATACAATCAACTCCATTAAGTAGGCCGTAAATATAGAGCTGCTGTATCATACGAGCCTGACAGATAATGGACCCATATGCATGTCCATTTACTCATTCTGGGTGAAGCCTGATTGGTTTATCTGTACTCTATCATCTGACCCAGCATTAAGAGCTTGTAAATCCTACAGAAGAGAACACCTGAAGAACCCTGGCCAGAGTTTTATAGAGTGGCTCCAGCATGAGAGAGTATGCTAATACGCTGGTCATTTATAAGAAATGGGTGCCTCTTCCAGTGCCAGATAAGTTGCTCTTTTAATTTGGGAAGATGTCAAACATTCTATCAGACAAATAATATTAAAGTGTTCACATATGCACTGTTCCATTCATAAATGTTTACTTTGAGATATGAGGCCTAAGAAAGGTAAAAGCGCTGACAATGAAACTTGAGATTACAAAGGTTTGAAAATTATATGGTGCTTCTTAGGGTACGATGTAAACTGATTTTTTTTTTCTTTTGCGTACAGACGAAAACATTATCAAAACAATCCAATTCTACGAAGATGATTAAAAGTACTGTATTATGCATGCCAGGCCAGTAGTTGGCAGTTGTCACTTTGTAAAGAAACCCTACAGACTGATATGCGTGCACCGTTTTCACAAAATCGTGCTTTTGTAGTTTACTGTTTAGTAAACTTGCACTTTAAACCCTGTTTTCAAAAGTTTGCTATTTCAGGCCTCCAAAGCGCTTTTGTTGTTTATGAATGGCCAAAACGCATCAAAAGTTTTCTGTTTTTAGTTGAAAATGGTGCTGTGTACACGGCCCCTTAGAAAAATTAATACTGATATTTCTGCATATCCATATTTCAGTTATAAATTGTTTACTAAACCAACAAAATATTTTATGGAATGGGGATTGGGTTAGTGTTAAAAAAAAGTAAATTAAATTCGCTGATGTGTTTACAAAAATGAAGCTGGAAATGATATATAGCCTATAAATAGGCTATATATGCATGCCAGCTTTAAATAGGTCAAAGAATTCTCACACAAAGAAAAGTGAAGACAGAAGTTGGATTCGAAAGTTAAATAAGAACTAGCAACAGCTTTAAAATTCCACATACATCAGCTTAAAAATGGTGGGTACAGTCTGAACCCCTTTAAACCATGCATCTTGTGAATAAGACTGACAGTAATTTAGAAGCAATGCTTCTCTTCACTAGTCTCTAGTGATTCGTTCTCTCTCCCCCCCTTTAATTAGTTTGTCTCCAACTGCTGATTTAGCCTCGGTGTCCTTGCAGGAAGCCGTGTGGTGGGTCTCTTTTATAGGCTGATTAATCCTGTTCAGGCCCGTGGAGTGGTGTTAGACCCCGTCAGCAGCTTATTAGCATGTGTGCATGCTAGCAGAGCCCCTGCTTCTCCTAAGGCTTAATAATATGTGTTTCTTCAACTAACATCCTTATTAGTGCTACTAAGTGACGATCAGATTTATAAATAGTGCTGTGTGCCTTTTTAATTAAGGCCTATGAAATCATAGGCTTGATGCGCGAGCGCGTGCGTGTGTGTGATAAATGATGGGTGTTCGCGCTGGTGTTATGACTGCTGCTCCCGTGAGTTTAGCTCACACACTTACCCTAACAAGAACACACACTCACACAGAATCTCTTCACACTCTACTCTTGATGATTTATGATCTAAGGTGCCGCAGCCTCTTTACAGTGCAGTTTTGCTGAGAAGATAGCAGCTCGGAGGTACAGAACAGGCGTGTAATATTAAACATCAATTAGGTTTCTGTCTACATACATGCAGCTTTTTTTTCCTTTGAAATTTGTATCCTTAATCAGGGCCGAAACCACCATTGACATTGAATAAGACGTGACTGTTTTTATTGATATTTCTCCCGTCTTTCATAGCTGTCTGAAACGCATGCAATCATTTAAAGGGATAGTTCAACCCAAAATTAAAATTGTATCATTACTCACCCTTAAGTTGTTCCAAACCTGTAAGAGTTTATTTATTCTATTGGACACAAAATACGATATTTCAAAAATATTGGTAACTGGGTGTAACGATACCCTCATGTCACGATTCGATATCATGATACTGAACTCACAATACGGTATTATTGCGATACTTCAAAACATATGGTAAAAGGTTAACAAAATGTACTGTTGATTAAAATGCTAAATGTGATATTACACTGTGGGTTTAAATGAATAGACTTGGACTTGGTGCGTGTAACCCAGGGACAATGGTGATACCAGAATAAAAATATTCATGATTCTGAAGCTGAAAATACTGAATAATTTTAGACGAATATGCTTGCACGCTTTCACTGACTAGATATATTTAAAATAATGTCGGACACTTTTTACTGGTAAAATCAGTTATTTAGCATTATCAGGACACACAAATATTCCCACATTGCATTATTATACATTATAATCAACATTATAGTAGTTCAAAACTCTGAAAACTATTTTGTCACTATCCACGATACGCATTGTTACATTTTTGTATTGCGATATATTGTGGCACGATATAACCAGACAGTTGACAGCACCCATCCATACTATTAACTCACACTAAAGTATAGCCAGATAACGGCCATGTGACCTTTGCCACTGGCAGAACTAAGCCATATGTGCCATAGTTGGCCCAGATGAGGCCCTGATATATGCCACCTGGGCTGTTTTACTGACATTCTTCAAAAGATCTTCTTTTGTGTTTAACAGAAAGAAGATCATACAGATTTGGAACAACTTAAGGGAATAAATGATGAAAAATGTTAATTTTTTGGGTGAACTATCCCTTTGATCACCATTCTTTTTTGTGAGTAATCAAAATTGCTCTTTTCATTTTTTTTCTCCTATTATTGCTCAGTTGTAAGGACTTTTCACATGCAGCCTGCAACATTTTGTTAAAGCTTGAATTCAATAAAAACAAATTCTGTGGAACACAACAACTGGGATTAATTTGTAGACTAATAATAAAAAAATGGGGTTGTCAATTTCTGAAATCGATGTAATGTTGTAACATGAACACTAGGGTGTAATGAAGATCATGTTTTAAGCCTTTCCACAGTCTTAATTCTTG